ATTTATTTATTTAGTTTGTTTATGCCACAGGATAACAAAACATTTTCTTGCAGTTCTAAAGCAAAAAATATATATAATTGCAATATATAAATGCAGAAAGTAGAGATATAAACTCACAGTTCTGAGAAGAAAAGTCATAATTGTGAGATATGAACATGCAAAAAATTGCATTGCAAAAAAGGCAGAATTGTGAGAAAGTTTATATTAGACTTTATATCAGACAAAATAATTGTGAGAAAACAATTGAGAGATATAAACTCAGAACTGCGAGGGAAAAAAGCTAGAATTGCGACATATATAACCAAGATATAAACTTGCAATTGCAAGAAAAAGCAAAAAACCTGAGGCGAAAAAAAAATGCAAGATGTGAATTCAGAAATCGGAGAAAAAAGTCAGAATTGTGATATACCGAAAAACGTTTATGAAGACATTCAGTCTCAGAATAACGAGAAGGTAAGTCGGAATCGTGAGATAAAAAGTTGCATTGGAATGGGCTTCTGTAGTTCACCCCGTTCATCTACTGTTGTGTTCGTCAGATGTCTGTCTACAGTCCGCTGATGTGTTGTGTGACTCTGTTCCAGCTGCACTACGAGAGGTGGCGCTGGATGCTGAAGTATTTCTGGATGTCCGTGGTGGTTTACACCATGCTGGTGCTCATCCTGGTCTACACGTTCCAGTTTGAGTCCTCGATAAGCGTGTGGTCCAACATGACAGGCATGAGCAGAGAGAAGTATGCATTTGAGACGACTCTACTTATGTACAGTATGACAGGTGTTGCGGTGTGATAGGTGAGCTCCTCTTCTGTGCAGGCTGGAAGATCTGGGTCTGGAGAAGTTCTCGGTTCCTGCTCTGTTCACGCGGATCTTCATTCCCACCTCGTTCCTGCTGGTGTGCATCCTGCATCTGCACTATTTCCACGAGCGCTTCCTCGAGCTCACCGACATCAAATCCGTGGCCGACAAACAGAAGAGCACTATCTCCAGGTACAGCGGCGGTTGTTTAAAGCACACGATCAAAGTATTCAGCAGCTTCAGGATGGTCTCTAAGAGCTTGTGAGCTGACAGCCTTTTCCAAAAACAGAGTTCTAGACTCTGACTCCAGGAAATGAACAGTGTTGTTTATAAGGCTTTCCTGCGAAGCTGGAAGCTTTATGTTAGGGGTCTTTTTTTTAATGAAAAAAAAAATCTTCTTCCAAGTTTGAGACTCCATCAGGTTTTCTGACAGGATTTCCTTGGAGAAAATTAAATAATCCTGGCACCGCGGTGCATGCTTGACGTTTCTGATCATGTGCGTGTCATCTGATGACCAAAAGGCTCAATTTTGATCCCATTCTTCAATAATAATGATAATGGTTGTAAGTTATTAATAGTTGTTATTAATATTTTGTTGTTATTATTAATGGGATTATAATCATAACTAGGTGCATAACACAAGTGCATCTTTTTCAGGTTGCATAGTTTCTTTTTGTTTGCATTATTAAATGAGCTACTTTATTTTAAACATATCTTTAACAATACAGGTGCATCTTTTTCAAGTTGTGGAGCGGAAGTAAAATAATAAAAGTTATTTAAATACTATTTCTCTGCTATTATAATATTTATTAATATTTTGGATTAGTTTTTATTTTTCAGTTTTAGTAATTTTATTATATGCTTTTTTGTCATTTTTTAAATATTTTTGACATTTTTCTTTATATTTTCTTTTTTTTTTTTTTAGAAATGCAAGTACTTTAACTTGAAATTATTTTATTTCAGTTCGTACCCAAAGCATCATTTCTGAAAGATTTATTATTATTATTATTATAGATGTTGTTGTTGTTGTTAATGCTGATAAAATCAAAACATAAGTAATTTAAATATTATAATAACTGTAACAAAATGATGATAATATAATGTATTAATTATTATAGATGAGTTTGAAGAGATCTGTTTTTGTTTTTGTTGTTTTTTTTTTATTAGTGGGAAACCAAATGCAAATGAAGTATGTGATTCAGTGCTGTAAAACCAGAAAACATGAGAAAGTCAGAGGGACGTTAAAATATAGATCTTTAACTCAACACTGGTTAATGTTTAATACTTTAGATTTTTCCGTTCAGTTTTTAATTGGTAGAATGAGTGAGCTGTCTCATCACGAGTGTGATTTTCTTCCGTTGTCAGGCTCGTTCATCTGGAGGGCAGTCTGGCGGATATTTCCACGATCAAACCTTCGCTGGACTCCGTAAACGAGGAGGAGACTGAGGAGAGAGTAGATCTGGAGGAAGAGGAGGATGATGTTAAACAGAGGGAGGAAGAGGAGGTCTCTGAGCCACACTTCAGCTGCTCGATGACAGCCGATCCTGAGCCGGACCGGGGTTCAGGTAGATCTGAAACCACCGTAACATTCTCAAATTACACTTTTATATTGCTCTGATTGAAAATCATAGTTTCCGGTTATAAACCGGTTTTGTTGAGATCCTCTAAAAGCAAATAATGCATGCCATAGAAAGAATTGAAAGAAACAATTTTGATATAAAATAGTTATTTCGTTTGAGATTGTTGAAAAGCTTTACCGACTGCAGAAATTATTTTATTTCATTCATTTCTGTTTTTTTATTTTTATTTATTTACAGAATATGATGCATATTTAAAAAAAAAAGGCATCACAATAAATAATTTCAAGGTTGTCTGTTTGTAGCAAGCAAACTGAATTAAACGGTGACTAACTAAATGTTTTTAGTTTTATATTAAATGAAAATTATAGCTAATTGTGCTTTTGTTTTTGTTAATTTGTACTTCATAACATTTTGGCTTATGTAAACAATGCCTTTATAATAAATAATATCTCTACTTTGTATGAATGTATGTCTTTAGGAAAATAAATATTGTTGATTAATATGAACTCAAAATGTATCAAAATCAGAAAGTTTAAAGAAAAATATAAATTTGACAAAAAAAAAGAGAATAACTTTGGTTGTAACAAATCAGATATTATTATTATTATTATTAAATGTACATGTTGTTTATGGTGAAATTACTTTGTAAAAAGTCAAAAAGTATGATATTGACCTTCATTTAGTAACATTTTGTCTAAAGAAAGTAGTTATTAATTTATATAATTATTTGTTTGATTGTTTGTCTCTTTAGGAAAAATAGATATTGTTTTCCAAATTTAAGGTTTGAACAAAGCATACATATAATTTGAGAACAAAATAGTAAATTAGTCTGTAGTAAATAAAGGTTTTTCTAAAGTTTTCTCTCTCTCGCCATCAAACAGAACTCCAGTGTGTCATATTTCATCTCTGCTCAGATGTAAACTAAGACAGAAGGTTGGAAATCAAAGTACATTTAAAATAAGAAAAAAAACACAGTTTTGTTCCCATTCATATTCATTCAAGAGTAATGCAATAAACCCGGATCATATCCTTGCGGATGCTATCATCTGAATTAGAAGCATCGTTCAAGCATAATAAATTAAATTACAAGACCAAATCAATTTTTTATATCCTGCTTGAATGAGACGCTCTATATAAATCTGAATTCATGTTGGAGAGATACAACTAGAAGAGGCTTTTATTGGCCCGCTGGAGACCAGAATAAAAGCGTCTAGACTTGTTTCATGTGTAAACGCCTCTAAACTGTTAAAGGTGACATATCATGAAAATCTGACTTTTCCAGGTGTTAAGTGCTATAATCAGGTCCCCGGTGCATCTACCAACCAAGCAAACGTGAAAAAGATTAACCCAGTAACTTTGTTTTGGGAAGCCTTTTTCTGCAGATCTAAAATAAACAAGCAATTTATTTCCCAGCTGTTTACCTTCACAGACATAACCCACTGTTTTTGAAACTTGTAATGTGTGTTTTTAACGTAAGCTTGTGTGTGAATGAGAACTTAGTTTAGTTCTCACATGCTGTGAGAGCCGCTTTCTGTGCGTGTGCTTCAGATGTGTGCACTCAGAAAACCATATATCAGAAGTTTACACTCATATGGTTTAAACCGCATGATTTCAGCACGATAAACATGATAATCAGAACCAAAACAGATGTTTTTAGCAGGTCCGAGCTGTAATGGCGCAGCTCTATTCTGGAAAAGGGGGCGGGGAGCAGCAGCTCATTTGCATTTAAAGAGACAGGCCCGAAAAACAGCGTGTTTCTGCTTCCACTCAAAATAGGCATTTTCAAAATTATGTAATAAATGATCTGTGGAGTATTTTGAGCTGAAACTTCACAGACACATTCCGGGGACATCAGAGACTTGTAAGAAGGGGCATAATATGTCTCCTTTAAAGTCTTCAGTGCATTTGATTTCCAAGCGTTTCTCTGAGATAGAGATTTGAGGGCTTATTAACTATTTGTAACAGTACAGGTTGTGTAGCTTCTTGTTAGCGTAATTAAGTGAGTTTTACACCGTATTTATTGCGCACCACAGAACAGCTGCGAGTCAAACTTTGCTTTCCTAAACCGTTGCTTTATGTATTTCATAAACATGTCGCTGTGATTCATCGATGGGTGTCTGTGTTTTATGACTGTTTAGAGATTTGAGATATTTTACGCGTTATCGGCTGTGTGAGCGTCGTAATGTTGACAAACGGCTCTGTAAGTGTTGCTCTGCACAGAATCAGCTGATGTGTTTTCTGCACAGTGTTATTTTAGCATTATTTCAGTACTAGTTTAATATTTATTAAGATTTTGAGTTAGCTTTCATTTTTGTTTTTTCAGTTTAGATTTTATTTTAAGTGTGAGTTTTAGTCATTTTTGTAAAGTTTGTATATTCTATTATTATGTTTTTTATTTAACTTTAATTATTTTGGTAACACTTTACAATAGGGTTCATTGGTTAACATGAACTAAGCATGAACGATACTTCTACAGCATTCATTAATCTTAGTTAATGTTAATTTCAACATTTACTAATGCATTATTAAAATCAAAAGCTGTGCTTGTTAACATTAGTTAATGCACGGTTAATTAACATGAACTAAGAATGAACGACTGTATTTTCATTAACTCACATTAACAAAGATGAATAAATACTGTAATAAATCTATTGCTCATTGTTTGTTCATGTTAGTTAATGCATTAACATTAACTAATGGCACCTTATTGTAAAGTGTTAGCATTATTTTAGTATTCAACTTAAACTGGCTTTATTTCAGTGTCTTGCCAAGCCAACATTTCTAATTTCGTTCAAGTTTTAACTGATTTTTTAACAATATAGGTGCATCTTTTTCAGGTTGTGGAGCATATTTTTGTTCACATTATTAAGCTGTTTTAGTATTATTTCTGTACTATTATTATTTATTAATTTGAATTAGCTTTTATTTTATTCTTTTGTTTTCATTTTAATTTTATTAAAAATGTCATTTTATGTGCTTTTTTGTCTTTTTTTGTTATATTCAGCTTAAATATTTAGTAATTTTAGAACTTCAACTTATTTTATTTCAATTTGTTGTCAAGGCAGCATTTATAATTTTGTTCAAGTTTTAACTTATTTTAACTTACTATTAATACAGATGCATCTTTTTCAGATTGCATAGTTTATTTTTGTTTGGATTATTAAATGAGATTCTTAAATTTATTTTTAACTGATTTTTTTAACAATATAGGTGCATCACTTTCAGGTTGCGGAGCCTCTTTTTGTTTGCATTATTAAGTTATTTTAGTATTATTTCAAGACTATTATAATATTTATTAATATTTTGAATAAGCTTTTATTTTTATATTTTCAGTTTTGATTTTAATGTTAGCTTAAGTTTCAGTAATTTTGTTATGCGCTTTTTGTTTTTTATCTAATATTTATGTGTATTTTATTTTATTTCACTTAACGAAAATAATACAAATAGTTTTAGTTAAAGGGGTCATCGGATGCTTCATGCACGTTTACAAGTTGTTTGAACTGAAATGTGTTGGCAGTGTGTGTACACAACCACCCTATAATGATAAAAATCCACCCGGTGTTTTGTTTTTTTAATCTACACTGTAAAAATTGTTTCGTAAAATTTACGGTAAAAAAAACGTCAGCTGTGGTTGCCAGAATTTTACCGTAGTTAATACATTAACATTAACTAATGGCACCTTATTGTAAAGTGTTAGCATTATTTTAGTATTCAACTTAAACTGACTTTATTTCAGTGTCTTGCCAAGCCAACATTTCTAATTTCGTTCAAGTTTTAACTGATTTTTTAACAATATAGGTGCATCTTTTTCAGGTTGTGGAGCATATTTTTGTTCACATTATTAAGCTGTTTTAGTATTATTTCTGTACTATTATTATTTATTAATTTGAATTAGCTTTTATTTTATTCTTTTGTTTTCATTTTAATTTTATTAAAAATGTCATTTTATGTGCTTTTTTGTCTTTTTTTGTTATATTCAGCTTAAATATTTAGTAATTTTAGAACTTCAACTTATTTTATTTCAATTTGTTGTCAAGGCAGCATTTATAATTTTGTTCAAGTTTTAACTTATTTTAACTTACTATTAATACAGATGCATCTTTTTCAGATTGCATAGTTTATTTTTGTTTGGATTATTAAATGAGATTCTTAAATTTATTTTTAACTGATTTTTTTAACAATATAGGTGCATCACTTTCAGGTTGCGGAGCCTCTTTTTGTTTGCATTATTAAGTTATTTTAGTATTATTTCAAGACTATTATAATATTTATTAATATTTTGAATAAGCTTTTATTTTTATATTTTCAGTTTTGATTTTAATGTTAGCTTAAGTTTCAGTAATTTTGTTATGCGCTTTTTGTTTTTTATCTAATATTTATGTGTATTTTATTTTATTTCACTTAACGAAAATAATACAAATAGTTTTAGTTAAAGGGGTCATCGGATGCTTCATGCACGTTTACAAGTTGTTTGAACTGAAATGTGTTGGCAGTGTGTGTACACAACCACCCTATAATGATAAAAATCCACCCGGTGTTTTGTTTTTTTAATCTACACTGTAAAAATTGTTTCGTAAAATTTACGGTAAAAAAAACGTCAGCTGTGGTTGCCAGAATTTTACCGTACAAAATACGGTAGCAACGTTTTACAGTTTTAACTTAAATTTACAGTCAAATACCATAATTTCATTAACTGATATAATGTTAATATACCAACCTATTGAAGTACTGAAATCTGTTTTGTAGCTTTGTAATACACTGATAACCCCCAAATGCAGGAGGTGATGAGAAAGTCACACGATGAACCGAAGCCCATCACAAGCAGCTTTTAAATAATAACATATATAGAAGCTGCACACAGAGTCATTCACACAAACACCAAACACATCACGGTAACACACATGATACTGAAATAATGCAATAAACATTCATTTAACAACATTAGGTGTAACACACAACCCGAATATACAAAACTGATGAGAAAAAACTAAGAAATATAGTTATTTCAACAAAAAAACATCAAATTTGAAATGTAATGCAGGGAATTCTGGGAATGTCAATTTACGGTTATTCACTGTAAATTATACAGTATTTTTCACTTCCAAAAATGGTATACTACCGTAAAATTA